ATATGTTTTGAGTTCCAGGTATTCTTCAATTATAGATATGCTGCTCTTGTTTTGCCGATCCACACCTTCACATCTAGAGTTATCTTAACTTGTTATTCGCTTTTAATATTTCTATTAATGACAATCTAGGAACAGTTCTTGAAAATGAATATGATGTAGATGGAGATCTATATTCTAGTAAAAGAATTCAACCATGAAAAAGAAGGATGAAATCATCATATTGGGAGATAATCAACATGACGTCCAAAGCATACGTCTAATCGGAAGATGATTATTATGTCAGAATTATTATTATTATTATTATTACGGTGCAATTTACCACAACCCTCCCCCCAGTATCAGAAATAGTCTCCGATTACGGTATATTCTGAACATAATTGAAGCGTCAACGTTTATCAGGAAACTTTCAGACGGATGACCTTAGTCTAGTCACATAAAATTTGGAATACAAATAGTTCTATCCTTTACTTATAAAAACTATTCTATAGACTGAAGATATTCATTAATCTTGTATATTCCATGATCAGTATATCCAAATTAAAACTTTTATACATCAACAACAATCTATGGGTAATATTGAAATCTGGGAATATGGATCTCAGAATGATCAACACAATTATTCAATAAGTAAAGTGGATGATTAGATAGTTTTAAACTACATTAACCTAATTTTAAATACATTTACTACAAGCTACGTAACTATAAAGCTATTAGTTTCATTCATATTTTTTATTTATTTAGCGTTCAAGGCTAATAAAGATTGTTGTTGGTGGTGGCGTGAGTGATGAGATCAATGCACGTTTAGTGAAAGCCAGGGCGGTTTATGCCAATCTGGGCCATCCTTGGTGCCTTCGTGATGTTAGTATGGCTGTAAAAGGTCGGATCTACAACGCATCGGTGAGAGCAGTTGTGGTCTTTGTTTGTGAAACCTGGCCTCTCCGAGTTGAGGACGACTCTCTGTGTTCGATCATCGCTGTCTCCGAAGGATTGCTGACATCCAGTGGCAACGCCATGTTAGTAATGCAGAGGTTCGGCATCGTGTGTTTGGGCACAGAGACGATAATTCAGTTGGTGTCACCATCTTGAAACACTGACTTTGGTGGCTTGGACATGTTCTACGAATGTCGTCCCAGAGAATTCCACGTCGTGGATTATTTGCCGACTCTGGGACTGGTTGGAAGAAGCGGAGAGGTGATCAGTGTATGATATGGTGTTTGGGTATGAAAGAAAGCTGCAAAGGGCTGGTTTGTGTTGGTCCTTCACGACTCCCTGGTTGGGGTTCTAGATATGGTGCAACACAGTGGCTAGAGACGTTATCAGATATGGCTCAGAATAGAAGCCAATGGCGATCCTGCTGTAACCTTCTTTTACTTTCTTCGTAAAAATTGGTTGCTTCTATGAAGCTGCGACCAATCGAGTTCAATCTTTGTCAGGTGTGAGAGAGTTATTAACTTCAGATAATAGATCAAACGTTGCACAAGATCATGAATCAATTGGAGTTAGACATTGATGACGTTAGATGATAGTTCAATTGTCTAGAGGTTAAGTATTCGTGTACAAAATCGAAAGTCCTGGGTTCGAGTCTTAAGGGCGGAATTATGGATATGTATTACTGAGATCGTTGACTCTTGTAAACGAAAATAAATAGCAACTATTTGCTGCTGGAATATCTACAAGTTCAGTAAATACTAGACGGTAATTTGTTTACAATAATGTAAGATATTCTATGCAACGAATTCTTTACGTTCGTACAACATAAGGTATGGAATAAAGATGGTTATAAATGGAGAACAATTTACTGATTATGGAAGATAAGTGATTCATTATTCTATGGCTTATCATCTCACACTGGATCTCTCACATACACAGAAGGTTTCTTAACTGTTATCACCTTTTTGATCTTCAGTCATATTCCTTTATGGTACAATCATTAGTTATAGTAATCGATGAAGCACTGCTTCATATACAAGTTGACTCATTTCAATGCTTACACCTTCTTGCTATAACTTCTTCGCTATGTGGTGATATACTAAAGATGGGGAAAATGTTGATTGTTGCTTAATTTGAAAATGGTTCTTTATAAACTAACATTCATCACGAATTCTTATGTAATCACTACACTATCACAGGTATAATCGTGGTTCAAAAATAGCTAAGAAATATTAGTCAGAATCCTGATAGCCATTTGCTTGTGCAATCGGACGAAGCTTAAATTCACTTGGTGTTCATTATATGTATCTTTTCATTGTTGTTGGTTAAAGACTGAGATTGATCAGTCTCTTATTGGCATATGTTCATCGTGTACGGATTGCCTTGATGTTGCCTTAATTCACAAGCATTCTAAGCAAAGATGAATAGTGGATAGTAGTGGAATCCAGTTTGACGCGCGTTTCGTCCTATCCGAGACTCGTCAACCGGATTTTGTGCTATCTAGTACTACAATGGAGTCTCTATAAATAACCTGCCCAAATGTACGAACTCAACAACATGAAAATAAAATCATTTCCTCCCTTGTGTTTCTTTATTATTTTTAAACAATCCCAATTTGTTTCTGAATAAATAATTATGTGAGTATAATAAGATCTTGTCTTTAAAACAAAATTTAAAGAACTTGTTAATAA